GCCCCAGGCTTCCTGGAATCAGCCGCTGATCAGTTTCAGCAGCGGCTGACGCCAGTTCCGACTTACATACAGATTCAACTTAAGAACAAACCTTCAGTCCCTATCTTGTACGTAACCCGGGGACTGCCTGTATTTGATCTGAGGAAGTGGGTCTGGCCCACGAAAGCTCATCATCTAATAAACCATCTTGTTAGTATTTAAAGTGCTGCATAGTCCTGTATTTTGTTTGTTACACCAGACTAACACGGCTACATTTCTATCACTATCAAGGCAGTGAGACTTTCTGAGCAGTCTGGTACAATCCAGCCACTCTTGCTGCGGGAGCAGGCTCTGAACTGAACAGGCTCAGAACCTGGTCCAGCAAAGCGCTCCGACACTTGCTTAGGTCCCCGCCCGTGACGTGCATGGGGCTGGTGAGGCGCTATAGTTAAGCACCTGTTAACTGCTTTGCTGGACGGGGGCTTCAGTTATTACAGGCTGAGCGGGACCAGATGCTACCAAGCAACCCGCTGTCAGGGACCGTACCCCCAGCCATTTCGGGAGCGCCCCTGGAGTCCCGTCCGCAAGGGCGCTGAGAGTGGGCAGTGGCGCTCGGCTGACCACCCCTGAGCCTGGTCAGAGCTGTGAAGCCACGTCAGAAGGTTGCTGAGCCTTGTACTTGGTTGCGAGCAAGCCATGACGCCAGCAGCACTGGCTGTGAGCAGAAGAGCCGGCGGGACCCTGTGGCCAGATAGCTGGGCAAAGCCAGCGCAGCAGTGCTGGGGCCTGCACACGGGCGGGGGCCAGGCGTGCTGGGCAGTGAACAGCTTGGGGTTCGACATGGCAGCACTGCCACCAGCTGCTCTGTGCTGCTAGCGCTCCTGCTGGGGAGAAGCTGGGAGGCTGAGGGCTTCTCCTGGGCTAGATGGGCCCTTCTGCCACCATGGGTGGCTCCTGGGTACTTCCCGGGGGCCTTATGGGACATGGGGGGGGAGGGGCTGTGCACTTGTGGAGAGAGGTGAAAGACAAGCACTAGCACCTGGAGGGCACGTGCGGGAGTCCCTGCTCTCAGCCCAGCCTGCTGGGCCCTCGGGTGAGCCGACAGACCTAGCTCTGCCATGGCAGTGCAGGTCACGAGACGCGCTCTGCCCTGCACGAGGGCTCTTCTCCCCCAGCCAGCCCGCCCCCTCCGCATTCCCGCAGGCCGGGTCAGCAGGCAGAGCTGCGGGAGGGCTTGGGGGGCGGTTGCACTGAGCAGACACGGAGATGGGGGCATAAGCTGGCCGCGTGACTTGCCCAAGGTCCCAGTCGCTAGTGGAACCCAACGGAAGGATCCAAATGTGCTGACTTGCTGCTATTCGCAAAGGTACCGAGGGGCGGAGCTCCCGTACTCGTTAGGACAGCGTGGGGTAGTGGTGAGAGTAGGGAGCAATTGGGAATGAGGACTCCGCCGTGGTACTAGCCCAGCCTCTCGGCGGGGGGGGGGGCACAGGCCAC